CTCTCTACCCTCCCCTCTTGCGGTACTTTGCCTTCGATTTTTAATGCGAGAAGAGTTCAGCACTCTCTTCCCTCTGTGTACACACGAACTAGCGCTATCCACTAGGCCAGGAGCGGAAGCGAGAGAAAAACTCACTTTGCAAGACAAGCTCGCTTACGCCGGGATTCGAACCCCTGACCTGGCCTCTATTATAGAAGGTTTCGAGGTTACCAACTAGACCACCGGGGCGATCGGCTAGTCAATGACGTCCACCGAATTCATTCACCGCTGTGATCCTGTCTAACCTGTCGACTACCGCCACTGAATTTATTCACTGTCTAACCTGTCAACGACCTCCACTTGATTCATTCACCGCTGGCATCATGTCTCACCTGTCAATGACGTCCATGCTGAAAGCGTGCAACCTCTGCAGGACCAGACCGAAGAACGGGAGGCGAGACAGGCACACCGCGGCTCCCTGCGTGTACCCTCGAGGAGAGTCGGGGTCCTATCAGTTATCACACACAACCGCAACAAGCAGGGGGGGGAAATACTCATGAATACGCATGCTGTAGCCGGAAGACCATAGACGATCGCATCCCTACAACTCCGGACTTGAGCGATTAGCCGGGCTTTCACAGGCCCAGGCTACAGCCGTAGTGGTGTATTCATGGACACGCGTGCCGCAGCTGGTACACCATAGATCCTCGTATCCCTGCAATGCTGGGACGAGGCGACAAGCCGGGTTCTCGCCGGACAGGCTGCGGTTGGAGAGGAGAGGGTTGTTCCCATCATTTGTGGCTGGCGACAGTCCTCGTTCGCGTGATACTCTCCAGTTCTAGAAAAAAAACTAAGCTTCTGGTGGTCTCCAGGATTGAACAAGTTTCCCGCGCGGAAGCAGGGCGGGGGGCTGGCTGTCATGACATGCCTTGGACAATCAAGCATCTACCTTCAAGTAAAACCGACCTTCTAATACAATGGTATTTAGACTACTACAATAGTTTTCGCAAGTCTCTACTGCCGTTTCCAAAGTGTGGGGGGGTTACTCATAGTCGTGCACGCCGTAGTCGATAGACCATTGACCTCGCATCCCTACAAAGCCGGGACGGAGCACGCCGGGTTCTCACCGGGCCAGGCTCTCACATCACCAAGCGTGAAGCACCGTGAGGTATTCGGCGAGTCGCATGAAGGGTGCGCTGCATCCTGCTAACGGTGTTCATCTTGTGCTTACTTCCTTGCGTACGGATGACAGCTGCGTATGACCTAATTTATTTTCTGGTGCTTTCACTTCCAGAGACAGTTGTAAGCACTGTGTATCTGCCTCGAGGATGCTTGACCATGTTAACACAACGTGCTTGCGATCATCCCCCTTGCGCGGAGTGAGGGTTCTCGACCCCGCACAACATGATCTACTCGACCACCATTCATGGTTACCGCAAAACAAAAACAGAGGTGAAAAAAAAACGGTAACCTGGTTGCCGAGTTCACGAAGTGAATTGGCTTGTGTTACAACGTCGTTGCCAAGTGACGAAAACCCAACCCCGATGGCAAACATGGGGGGGGGGGGAAGGGATTCTAAAAAAAAAACAAAAAAACGGCTACCTTGTTGGCCTTGACTTCTTCTGCTGGGAATCATGTACAGTAATACCCACAGAGCCAGAAAGAGAGAGGGAATCGACCTATGGCTGCTTATGTTGACTGCGGCACGCTGAGGGAACGATGCTCAAAACCCCGCCAAACAGGGTGGACACGGCCACAGCGGGGAATAGCTAGAACCAGACACCCAAACACACATCACAGGATACTCGGCGGCAGGAACAAGGGGTCCATGAGGGCTTCTCCAACAACAACAAAAAAAGAGTGAGTCCAGCGGTGCGATGTCTCTCCGCCCCGCTTGCATGCCTAGTGATATGCCTACGACATGAATTGGTGTCTGCGTACAGTACCTCAACACGAAGGAAGTGGCTCATTCCGAACAGGTTCTCGCCGGACACCCTCAGCATGAAGAGGCAGTGCCCGTGGTGCTGCTGGGACCCCCCCACCCCCCCTCCCCTCGCGTCGCCGCCCCTCCCGCTGTCCCTCCCGTGTGCCCCCCCCCCTTCTCCGCTAGGCATGACCCAGCCTTTGGCCCATGCCCAAATCCCTCCTTCGTTTTCGGACGGAGCGGTGCGGCTCGGCCCCTGAGAGAGCTCGGCTGCTGCCTGTGATTTCGAAAACACAAAATTAGACGCGGCGGCGAACCATTGTGAGGTTTCCGCCTTTCCGTATTAATATTTCCGCCTTTCCTGAACAAAGGTTTCCTCCTTTCCACACCACGGTTTGCTCCTTTCCGTACTAAGGTTTGCACCTTTCCGCCATGAGGTTTACTTCTGTCCATACTAAGGTGAGGGGCGCTGAGGCAAAAATCTGTGCACGAGTTCACTCTTGCCGGACATTCTACGGAACCAATGCCATGAAGGCCTCTAACCAAACCGACGAGAGGAGGATCCCCCCCCCCCCCCCCCGGCACGCAGCTACTGTTCCCCCTGCCACTGACAAGGCCATTTCCAGTGTGGAGCCTCAACAATGGCCATTATCGTACGTACGCAATATCTACACCGCCCTCCACGCCAACGGGCCTCCTCACATCAATACGCCCACAGCCCCCCCAACGCCTTACCACAAAGATCACCATGACCACCACAAGGGTGGCTTACACGTGCAATGAGCTTGACAATAAGCATGGCTTACCAGGCCATTTTCCGGGAGGGCCTTGAAGGGCATGTCTGATCTAAGGACGTGGATGTCAGCGGTCGAAAGCGGGAGCGTCGGTTGTCCCTGCTCGTCCTCTATGGGCGGATCCACACACACCAGGCACGGCCCTTGCCTGCAGAAATGAGTTGCAAAGAAAGGCGGAAGGTAAGTTAAGTTAACGTACCGTTGTCGATGTGGTTGTTTTGGCTGTGGTGATGTTTTCGATGATGTTGCTGTCGCCTGCTGGTGTTGGTGGTGGTGTTAGTTGTGTGCTGATGTTGGTGGTGCTGATGTTTGTCGTTGTGGTGTTGGTGGTGGTGTTGGTGGAATGGTGGTGGTAGTGCTGGACGTGGGTTCGTGGAATACGACACACGTGATATCGACGGATGAACGGGAGACATCCAAGGGCGGGCAGAAAAAAGAGCCACGGCAACACACGTGTACGCGGTGGGTATGACGCTAGCTGACATCGGCGAATGATCAACCGCGCTAAAGTATATCACAACACGGGAGGCGCTCGCATACATCATCGCATAGCATGGCACGATGCCGTAAAGCAAAGGCTTGGGGCGAAGCGCTTGCTCTCGTGATGCGGCAAAGACAAGAAGAGGGGCTAGGGACCAAAGAAACAATTGGTTACCGAATCTAACACCTCGCTCACTATGAAACAAACACCGCTAAAAACACACATCACTCTCCCTCCCCCTCCTCACGCACAAGAGCTACGGCGAGATAGCCACCAACGAGCGACAGTAAAACGACGATCGCCCATCCTTCTCTACCCGCCTCCTCCAAGAAGGAAATTTCCCACCGCCTCCCTCGCCTCCCACCTCAAATCGAAGGTCACGATGGCCACCAACGCAATCGGCATCTCCCCCTGCCTCGCGTCCATCGGTTTTGACGAGGCTCCCCCCCGGTAGGAGACCGATTTCCCCCCCAACCCCGACCGCTGTGACGAACCCGACCCGTTCGAAGGGCTAGACCTCCTGCCAGGGTCAGGGGAGGGTACGGTAGGAAGCGTAAGGGCGAGGCATTGGGCCGAATTTGATGCAGGTGTGGGCGAGATAATTGTCAACCGGGTGTCATTCTTGTTCTACTTGATAGAGCGTGGGCGAGATGACTACGTGATTACATCAAACAGCAGTGTGCCGTACTCCTGCTAATGCTGCTGCTGCTGCTGCTGCTGCTGCTACTCCGACATCGTAACCTTGGGCGTTGAAAAACACTGACTGAGAGAAGCCTTGTCAGCGAGTACAAAATAGGGTTTTGGGACTACATACAACAACCAACAGCGATCTCCGACAAAAAAGAAAGACTCTCACCCCAGCATGAACTTCATGTGTGATCTCCGAAGCCAAAAAAACTCTCGCCCCAGCAAGAACGTCATGTAATCTCCGAAGAACCAAAAACCACACACGCGATGAACCAAGTAACACTTTCCCATGATACCATGCAGATAGATGCACAAGACGGCCACCAAACTGTCTTGTTGACCCTGTTACCCACGGGGGAGATATCGCTGTGTGCTGCTCGGTAAATCGTGGAAATACAGGTAGCCTTCGCTGACGCTATGGATTCATTGCTAATCTACCTCAGCTCCTTTCAATAGATAGAGATGGATTCGTTGGGTCATATTAAGAAAAAAAAGCTCTTACCCCTGCATGAACTTCATGTGGCTGGAGAGTAGGTCCTCGACCTCCTCCTCGATGGCCAGTCCGTACGCGCCGTGCACGGGGCTGATGCCGTCGGCGGCCCCTGATGATCTCGCCGCCACCATGCCGGCAAGGCTAGCCGCAGTGCCTGTGCCGGCTCTGGTGGTAACCCTCCTGCTGTTGCTGCCAGGAGCAGCTGCCGTAGAGGCAGCAACGGCAGAAGGAGGAGGGGTTTCTCCAGGGTCATCCCCCTCCACGCATCCCTCCATGTCGCTGATAGGCCGGTGTCGTGCAAGAAGTCGACCCTAGTTTTAGTAAGTGCAAGAAAGCGTGGGTGGTTAATTGCAGCATTAATGTTGCAACTGACACGAGTTTAATGTGAAGACAACAACAACAACAATGTTGGGGCTTGATGGAATGGACTCGAAAAGGTTTGCCTCTGTGAGCAAGGCTAGGTTTAGTTTGGGTTGATAGACCGCCATAAGAGCACGGGGGGTGTATGAGGTTGGAGACTTGTATTGAAGGATCTGGAGGAAGAATAGGTTTACAGGGTTGAAGTGGGTTAAAATAAATAGGGATTTGTAGCTATTTGAGAGAGGGAGAGGGAGAGGGAGAGAGGGAGAGGGAGAGGGAGAGGGAGAGTGGTGACGCATACAGTACCCTCCAGTTCAGTGTTCGACTTCCCTGCTGTCCCCTGCCCAAGAACGCCTAAGAAACACATATTGATCACAGACATCTTCGCGACGCGCACACACACGACCCCACTGGCACATCTATACACATATCTAAGTACGCGCGATAGGCCACCGCCGGCCGAATCCACGTCGTCACTGCTGTATCTGCAGAAAACGCGGGACGACACCGTAAGTTGCCGCTGGGAACCGGTTTGTGGGGTCGTATCGATGAAGCAGTTGGGACATCTTGCTACGTGTATCCTCCGTATGTAAGGGAAGGACAACAGTAGCAGTGGCAACGACAGCAGCAACAGCAAGTGCATCCGGAGATTCGCAACGTCTGAAGAACGGGCTCAGCAACTTTTGAAAACCTTGCCTCTCATGTTCAGGTCGGTGGTTTTGCATCGAGAATAGCACAGCTCCCGTAAGGAAGTAATATCCTAAAGTCGAAAATCACGTCGGCACGCAGAGGCGCGCCGCATGTTCCAGCAACCAACAGCGACACATTCGGCGCCCGTGTTGGTGTGTCTTTGTGTATTGGCCAATCGCACGGCAGCGGTCAACATGATGGTTTGGTCGCGACAACGGTTGTCTACAACTACCCCGCAGTCTAGACTTCTGTAGGCTACACTCACTTTGCTCATTTCGAGAGAGAGCGTACAACATGTTCAGCAAATATCTTCCCAACAAAACTCGGCAGTACACACTCACCACACAACAGAATGCCGCATCGCATCCCCGCAATCACGCAGTCCGGGGGGAGAGTAGAGTAACAGAGACATGTGCAGGTGGGATGTGGTGAGAACTCTTCAACAGACGAGCTTTCTCCCGCGTGTGTTGCGGGTGTGCAACGATTATATTATTTGTGTCGTACGCGTTTACAAGTGCACGCATAAATATATATTGCTCAAGCTTGAGCTCCAACCAAGAGGGGACAGTTGATATTTTCAACATCACAGGAAAGCATCTCACCTCTGCCTATGCTCGGCAGCCAAGCCTCCACGCGGCAAACGTGGCGTCGTTCGAAAAGAAAGTCTCCGGACACAGCACAGGCGGAGAGATTTTGTTTTCGAGGGAACAAGCGTCTTCTCTCTGTCTTTTACACTTTTTCCCTCTCTTGTTGCTGCAGCAGTTGGCGGAGCTCAGCCTCTTCGGACAATCGGGGTGCCTCTTCCGCTTCCTCTCCCCTGCATGTGTGTCTCCTCTCGTCAAGCACTGACTTGCTTGGTCCAGCAGCAGGTGAAGCCCTGTCCAGGCTGCAGGCTGCGGAGCCCCTTCGTTCGCAAGGGGTGTGAGTTGGAAACCGCGAAACCCCCCTCGGGAAAGAAGGCACGCATGCACACCCTTGCCTGTGTACAGTAGTGGCAACATGGTGCAGCGAAAACGATGGCGAGCGGCTCTGGGCGTGGCCACAGCGCTGGTCCTTCCGCCCTGCCTCGGCTTCCGGACTACGGCTACCACCGCGAGTCTCGGATGCCGCAGCAATCGCGACAGCAGATGTCATGGCCGGGCTGGGGTACGTAGCAGGGCCGTGATGACACAGCTGAGAGCGAATAAGCGAGGCAAGGAGGACCTCATGGAGAAGATTCTCCCTCTCATCGAGTCGGTCACGACCTCGAGGGAGATGGTGCCGTCGGATTTGACCCGTGGGTATGACGGCTTCGTTTTCCCTGGGCCGTTGTCGCAAAGCGAGGTGAGGATGTGTACTGCTGAACGTACGAGTGCTCCTGGCAGGATGCCGTGCTACTGGTATGTAGCACAGGTGGCACATCAGGCGTGGCGTGAAATGCCGTAGAGGCTTGCACTGATCATGGCACTGTTGTGCTGCAGGACTGGGTTGAGAGGAGCAAGTCGGTTCGGTGCTCTGTGGGGAAAAGTCGGTCGTTATCGGCGTGACGTTCGGATCATGTCATGTTGCCGCACGGGTCTTCGAGTGAGAGACAGAGACGTACGCGTACACACCTTTCACCTTTACTTTTCAAATTTGACGCGTTCTCAAAGTCTTCCTCGTTTCACTGAACACGGAACGACCAATGTAACCAGTTGCTGGTGTCAAGGTGGTATTGTAGGAGCGTGGCGTCATAGTCACCGACGTAGCAGCGATAGATATTTTTTGTGGAGGTAGACGTACCTCCGGAGGGTTTGTTCGGCGGAAAGCGCGGCTCCATGTTCTAATTATGCAAAGTGTAAGTATTCTGACCGTCCTTCTTGGCCTCCGGAGGATCACAGTACATGTAGACCGGTGTGACACCAGGCGGGGCAGTGCAGGTGCGCAACAAGAGTGGGAGACTACTGTAACAAGGTCAACTCTATGGCGGCACTGATGTATTGCTTGTGAGGTGCATGTTGCTGGCTTTGTTCGCGTTCGTTGCGCCGTTGCTCGTGGAATCTACCCCAGTACCCCAGGTCTATGGTAATAGTCATCACTACCTAGGGTTGTTTTCAAGCGTACTCCGTATAGGCTACAACGGTGCATCAAACGGTATCTTGTGACTGTGAAGACGCACGCTGCTACGGTAACCCCCACAAAATACACGAACAAGACTATTGCTACGCTTGTCTCATACCTATACCGACCAAGCGACACACCTCGCGGAACCTGCTTTAGTTTCGCATCACCACCCCCGAACCGACAGAGGATAGGCCGCACGCTAGCATTCTGGGGAAGCATGGGTCGTATTCTGGTGAGGTACTACCTGCAAGAGCGGGATCAGGGGGCAACCGAGGAGCAGTGGCAGGTGGGACGGAATTCCCCAACGTGAAGTGATGGATCGACGCACGTTGGTTTTGCAGTGTTGCCGTTTCGTGCCCTATAGTGCACTAAGTTCCTTCCTCAGGCAGTCCAGGCGAACGCTAGTCTACGCAGGTTTTTCAAGTAAGCAACATATCAATGTATAGGATGATGTCGTGCCGTGTCGCAGCTGCTACTCTGTTGCGAATCCATTTTTTTTCGGAATGCACGTTTAAAACTTTCCGGTCGTTCTTTCGGTTGATGTGTGCAACAACTTCCTCCTGGTATCACGCGAGCCCGCCCCCGCGGTACAGGGGCGGGCGAAGCCCCCTTGTGTTGGATAAGGTATAGAACCCGTCCAAGTTGAGGTTTGGGTTTGGGTCTGCGTGCTCCCTGGCTGCTCTTTTTTCGTAATGAACATAAAACTTACTTTATTCGCGCATGTAGGCATCCCACGGTAGCGATCTCTCCCTCAACCTCGAGAAGTCGCCACGTCAAGATCTATTTGGTAAATCTGGTTCGAAACTGAGCCAAAGGGTCTGTGCACGACGTGGTAATCATGTACCGTACCGTATGTCGTATGTATGAGTACGGCGGAGCTTCGGAACTCATTGAGGTCTCGCCCCACGCTGGCTCATGTATTGGTCTTCGCGACAGCCTCCTGCTGCCCCCTCCCATTCATCGACAGAAGAGCGAGGCTTGCAGGGGTGTCGCCGTGCTTAGACCTGCTTGCACATATATTGGTGCCTAGAAGTGAAATGAACGAGGAGAGGTACGGAATCTACATCTACCGTAGATCAGGACACCTTCGGTGTGTAGGCATCCACCACCACAGCAATAACCACAACTTACCAGACGCCCTAGTGTTTCATTTTCTTGTCGACACGACAGAGCGAGATACTTCCCCAAGAGCTCTGATCACTGAGGCAAGGCGGTATGAAACTCAAATTGATTAACATCCATGCTCAACATGCAAGCCATATGGAATGAGGTCAATGTCTCCCCACTTGTTTGTTTCGGTGCTCCACATGGCAGGACCTGCACAACTGGGGAAGCAAGCTGGTGACAGACACTATCACGGACCTCAGAGGGTACTACGTTAAGACGGGGCAGGTGAGCGTATTTTTACGGCACTGGTGTCGTTACTGCCGTGACACCCACACGCTTGGAACATTCGCAATGCTCGTGCGTGTGGGTGCTACACCATTCCGGTATTTTGTGCCCCACTCTGGAAGAGAGGCGGTATTGCCGCGTCGGAGATGTGTGTGTGTGTGTGTGTGTGTATTGATTTATTCTCGTGTTGCTTTGTTGGTCTTTGGCTGTATGTACCCTGTTCATTCGGTCCGATCCCCCCCCCCCCTTTGGGGATGCGAGGTCAATGGTCTAACGACTACGGCATGCACGGCTGAGTACCCCCCCCCAATGCACACCATGCACAACATGAGAGTACGCCCGTTCCCTCTCCCCCTCTATGTTCGATCTCAGGTCCTGTCGACAAGGGTAGATCTTTTCCCGGAGCAGTACACATCCAAGCTTCAGAGCCTGCAGGTCAGAGAAAAAATAAAACATGGGTGCTACCACGGTTTACGCGCCATGCGTTGGACACAGCTCTTGTTGCCCTGGACTCGGGTTTAGGCCTACGAGATACACCGGTGGCACGCACGTGAATCGCGTTTCCAAGTCTCTGCGAAAAATTCCCACCGCGATGAAAAGCAAGTCAGGGGAAGCCACCAATAACAACGACACCTGCGACGAGGCCTTGCGGTGTTCAGGGGCTTTCTTCCTGCCAAACTTGGCGCTAGCTCGTGTCTCATTCTGATGCTCTCGCTGATGCTCTCTCTGATGCGCTCTCCGATGCTCTCGCTGAATGATTGCTCTGCCTGGTCCCCCAGGACTCTGTAGAGCCAATCCCGACGGAACTGGTAAAGGCGCTCATCTCACAGGAGCTTTTAGAGGGAGAGCCGCTAGAAACGCTGTTCAGGTGAGCAAGAAGGGAATGGTAGCATCGACAGCACGAGAGTTGTGTTGGTGCATGGTATCAGAACGTATTCACCACCTTGCGTTGAGACTGTTCTATGTATTTTCTCTCTTTGCTTTGGAAGAAGTGCGGCGTTTGGGAAGGTCACCAAGGTTCTCAAGCGGAAGAGGAGCGGTTGCAGAGATCGTTCTTCTTCCGTCTGTCGGTGAAGACAAAGGCGACACGTGCAGAATACTGACATGTAGAGGACGGGAACAGTGCTGGGGTCAGTGCAGCTTCATGGCGAGCCCCTTTGGAGTTGGATTTTGGGTGGGGCGGTGTCTCCCAGCATGCGGTAGTCCACGGCGTTGGCCTTGCATAAAATGTTTGAAGTTTGGTCACTTGTTGAATGTAATGACGTTCGTTCTGATTTCCTATGAGCATCTATACGTTCCGTGGAAAACGGTTCAAGTTCTTGGGCAACTGTTGCACCATTACCATGCGGGTCAGGCCTCTTTCGATTTCCGTGGAACATCCCACATGGCTGTAGGCTTCGAGCAACTACCTCTGTAGCCTTGTTGGCAAGCTCTTCGTTTTTATGGAACGTGCTTAATGGAAAACGCTGGACAGCAACAGACGGCCTTCCGATATTTTTTTCAGTTTTGATGCCATGTCCACGCAAGTGTTTTTTTTTTGTTGTCGATGTCGGTGGTGCAGCGCTTTGGTGACATGTCCATCCACGTTTTTGTTATGTTTGTTTTGTTTGTTGTCGTATCACGCGTTTGTTCCCGTGGTAATCGTTATCGGTGCAGCGATTTGATGACATGTACATGTACCTGTTTGTTGAGGTTGTAATCCTTGTTACCGTAAAAGTCGGAGAGTTGGCACGGGCCGAAGAGATGGCACCAGTCGGAGAGATGGCACCGGGGTGCGATAAAAAAAAACGAGAAAAAATCATTTAATTCGATTTACGCACCGGAGTCGGTGAGATCACACCTGGTGCGATCTCTCCGACCCCCAAATCCAAGATTGAACTCCTTTTCAGCTGCCGGAATGAGGTACATGTGCGTACCTTTTACACGTGGGGACGGAGTCAGCGGAGCGCCACTCCTTTACGTACGATTGGATGGTCGCGGTTCACGCGGGATGCCAGTTGTTTTCATATTTTTTTTGGTATGGAAGTTGCCAACCGTACACTCAATCAAACACACAACGTACAAGCCGCACCCTACCCCACCTTACACAACCCGAAACCTTTGTACTTCTGCGTACGTACTGGTATCCGTAGAAGAAGACCGAAACGAAAGCGGGAAACAAATGATACCGTGTGTACTGGTACCACCTCAGACGGAAACGATATCTTGAGGAAGCTGTGCCTGCACCCTGTGACATGGCAAAATCAACAATCAACAATCAATGGCTGTGTGTGTGGGCTCGCACGGACTGTCATCGTCTAGCTTTTTTTTGTTTGCGCTAATTCGCCGCTTTGTCCGGGGTATGTTGTATGTGTATTTCGCCGCCTTTTTTCCGGCTCAGATATATGTGTGTGTGTGTGCAGAAGATCGTGTGCGTGCGTGGGTACCTACACTGGTACTATGGCAACGGTCGGGGAGATGGCACCGGGGTGCAACACCTGTGTGCATTTCATCGGGGACCGCACCGGTCAGAGAGATCGCACCGGGGTGCCTTGAAAATTTTAAACGAAATGATTTAGTTGCATTTCCGCACCGGGGTCGGAGAGATGGCACCGGTCGGAAAGATGGCACCGGGGTGCGATAAAAAACCCGAGGAAAAAACATGTAAAAAAACCCCGGTGCACCCGGTGCCAACCCTCCGACTCTTACGGTATTGGTGCAGCGGATTGAGGACATGTACATGCACGTGTTGAGCTACTTTATGTGTTCGTTTCTCCTTTTCTCGCTCATGTTTGTCGTCTTGGTTATGTTTGTCATTTTTGTTATCCTTGTTGTCTTTGATGTCGGTGCAGCGCGTTCGACGAGGTGCCCTTGGGATCGGCCTCGATTGCCCAGGTGCACAAGGCTGTGCTCAGGGACGGCCGCACGGTGGCGGTTAAGGTAGGGACAAGAAGTGAGGGAGAGAGGAACGAAGGAAGGAATGGAGGGAATAAGGAGCCCACGGAGCAAGGGGGGGAGGAAGGGAGGAAGGGAGGGAGGGAGGGAGAAAGGAGGGAAGGGAGGAAATTGTTCAGACAGAACGAAGGCGTTACACTAGACTCGCTTTCAAGCTTCAGGCCACAAGCAGCATGAGCTTTTTGGCTACCCCTTCCCCTCGCACACACCGTTCAACCTGTTGCGGTACCTGTACCTGTACCCTGGACTAGGTACAAAGACCGGCAGAGGAGCCCAAGCTGCGGGCAGACGTGGCTAACCTTAAGGCCTTCGCCGGGAGGTTTAGGGAAGTTCTTCCGGCGGATTACTACCCGGTGAGCTTTGAAAAATATACTCCGTAGCATAATATAATAGCGCCGTTTGGCCTGCCGTTTGGCCTGCCGTTTGGCCTGCTGCCGTTTGACCTGCCGTTTGACCTGCCGTTTCACATACCGTTTCACATGCAGGTTGGCTTGTTCTCCCAAGTTCATCATGTTGCTCCTTTCCCGGAAACTTGATGTGGTGAATGCCTCCCCCCCCGCAGTTGCTTCTGCTTCAAGCCATTCCTTTTGTTCTCTCTACCCCGTATGCAGTGTGTAGCCTCTCTCCTTCGGCCACTCTGGTCTGGTGGACCCATGATGTCTGATCTAGCCCAGAGGACTTTTTTCTCTTCGGGGTCCTGGCATTCATATTACGTTTGCGCGGGTCTGGAACTCTTATCTTCTGCCACGATAGATGCAACGGCCGAGTTACCATTCGTGCCAATGCCCACGCCTGACACCGTGATCGATCATGGTTCCAAGCACCGCAGGGCGAAATGGCGTGAGGTGCAATAGCTGTCTGTAACCACGAAGCGAGGGCATTGTTCCGGCCGTTTTCGAACCTGTTTTTGGACTTTTTTTTGTCTCGGTGGAAACATCATGCTCCATTCACGGCGATATCTAAACCGTTACTAAGAAGGGTTGGGCTTGAGAGGACTCCGAAGTAATTCCAGAGGCTTCTCTGAGCTCGTGTGAGTCTTCCGTACATCGAAAATATCCTTTCGTCCAGCCACCATTTTATGACACAAACGGCTATCGCGACACTGCACACACCACGGCGAGTGCATGCCTTGTACATGTCATGAACCTGCTACCGAACAGGTGTTTTGCGAGCTGGAGAGGGTGCAAGGTAGCGAGCTGGACTACTATCCCTAACCCTTCTGCACCTCGTGGATATCGGTGTTTTGCGAACTGAAGAGAGTGCTGGATAGCGAGCTAGACTTTCGAGTTGTCCCAAACCGTAACCCTGTCCCTAATCCTTCTGCATCTCATGAACGTATTTAGGTGTTTTGTGAGCTGGAGAGGGTGCTGGATAGCGAATTAGACTTTCGAGCTGAGGCTCAGGCGATGGAGAAGATCGCAGCGGGCGTGGCCCACTCGGTGGATGGGAGCAGAGCCCGCCCGCCGATAGTGGTGCCGAGACCGGTGCCGGGACTTTGCAGTGGGAGGGTCTTGGTCATGGAGTACGTGCAGGTGGGTCCGTTGTTGTTGTTGTTGCTGCTGCTGCTGCTGCTGCTACTGTTATTGGTGTTGGTGTTGCTGCTTCTGCGTAGTTGCTGCTCTTGCGAAATCTGCAGGTACTGTTGTTCTAGTTGTTGTTGTTGTTGTTGTTGTTGCTGCTGCTGCTGCTGCTGCTGCTGCTGCTGCTGCTGCGGCTGCCGCTAGTTGTTTGCTACTCCTAATGTTGTAGCTTTTGCGGTTGTCAGCACGTTGTAAATCCGTTCCGGCCCTGCCGAATGAACCCTCCATGTCCGATGTGCCTACAGTATCCAATCCACAAGTAGTCAGTGTGTGTACACATAGGTGCGCGATGTGCGGAGTCCTGGTTGTATCCAAACCACAGGACTTGTGGTCCGGTGTAGTTTTGTCATGCCTCGAAGTTGGGTCTCCCATCCCGTGGTCAGGCTCGCACCTGGTGTCGGCATGGGAGAGTCGAATATCATTTTTTTGGCACAAGGGGGGTGACTGTTTTTCTCTCTCTTTATCTCGTGCCTCTCTCTCTCTCTCTGCATGCTTGCTGCACATCTCGTCGTCACCTTTACGTTATTAATTTATTTATTTATTTATTTTGTCAATGCGTGTGCTGTGCGTGTTCGCCGACACCGTCGAAGGGGATGGCTCTCAACAGGCTAGCCGAACGGCTGACCGAGTTGGGGCTCGTGGAGACTTCTCCAGAGGCTAGGGTGAGTGAGTGAGTGAGTGAGTGAGTGAGTGAGTGAGTGAGTAAAGGAGGGCTATGGCGTGCTGCCGTCGATGTCAATGTCTTTGGCGTTGTTGTCGTTGTTTTTGTTTGTCGTCGTCGTTCTTGTTGACGTTGTCGACGTCATTGTTGTTGATGCGGCGTGCTGAAAATGTTTTTTCATCTCTTGTATTCAGTTCTTTTGAAATGAAACACCTCCATACGTCGAAAGCTTGTTCGCACACCTAGACTAGCCTACATGTGGTATGATTAGAGTTTGCTTTTTTCCTTTCACCCTTTAGTTGTCGCTTTTCTTCCTACTTTGTCGTCTTGTGAAGGTTTTCGGAAAACGCCTCCTGACGTCCCTGACCGAGGCCTTCGGGCGGATGATATTCGGGGCGGGTTTTGTTCACGGCGATCCCCATCCAGGTCTGTCTCTCTGTCCTTCTTCTTGCATTTGATTAGTCGCGGTTCATATCACATGATGATGTCATGATGTCATCAGGGTTGTTGTCGTCGTCTTTGTTGTCGTGGCGTTGGCTTCAAATGTTCATGTTCACCATGACGTTTCGCGATCTGCACGTCATGCTAGCATACCTTTCTCGTCTTGCTCTCCGTCTGAGGAAGTTACCACGGAATGCGTATGGCTTCGTTTTTCTTGCCTTTTTTTATCATTTTGACGTTGATTTAGTTGTTTTTTAGCCCCACCTCTGTACAAGTAGCTGGTCTATTGTGGTAATAATTAGTCGAAACAGAGACTTCGTGTGCCATGCTATGTTTTGTTTTTTCTGTGTTTCGATTGTTCGTGTTCGTGTTCGTGTTTTGGACTCATGTCGTCCCGTGTGTTTTCGTTCATGCATATCCTTGATTTGGCATCGAATTTTCCCCTTTTACAACCGTTTGTTTTCTCTTGTTTCAAAAATTTCGATGTCAACTCCAAGCGACTGTTGTGTCGTTGTATATGGCGTTTTTTCTTCCTATACTGTCGCGATTTTTTTGCGCGTTTCCCCCCTCAAACGCACCGGGGTCAGGCAATATTTTCATCATGGACGGTGGTCAGGTGGCGCTCATCGACTGCGGCCAGGTGAGAATTTTAGATTTCATCCTGAGTCCTGCCAACTGAACCCCCCTACCCTATCCTCTCCTACCTATCCAGCTTCGCCACTTGTCCGTTGCCCTACGTCTTGCGGACTGCACCCCCGACCCTACCCTATTCTATCTATCCTAGCGTTACCACTTGTCACTTACCCTACGTCTTGCAGACTGTACCCTCCCCCCCCCCTAGCTTTTACCACGTGTCGATTGCGCTTGCGTCGCGTTACATCCCACGAGTCAGGTCTTGAGGGTCGTTTCGTAGTGGGGTTTCGTGGACAGGGAAATATAACATGTAACACAACTCGTGTTTCGGTTCACTTTTCCGCGAAGGAGAGGGGGTTGTTTTCGTGGGCACTAACGGGGAATGCACGTAACTCGAGGCAGCCTCGTCGCACATCGTCGGCCTCTGTGCTTGCTTTGAGGGGGGGGGCACTGCAGACAGGACATTGACGTCGCGTGTGAAACGATTCATATGCTTAGCTGTATTTCTCTGTATGATCAGAGGAGAGGGTTCTAGGGAATGGGTTGTGTGATCCACGCGTTTTCACCAGCACCGTCACCTACCCTAGTACATGATTTTTCAAATTGAGTATTTTCTGCCAATGGGCCGTTCTGTTTTCGTTTGTGATGATCATGGATCTGTTCCGGACTTGACTTGGATTCTTTGGGCGTGCTGTTGCCACTTGATCCACGCCCCTGGTACCGTACCCGCAGTCGGTTCCCATGGCGCTGATCCTTCGAGAACATTTCCCGAAGCTTGATCCGACAACCAACCGTAGCTCGATCATTACCGGTTTCTGATAGACGGGGCTCGATTTCCACGACGGTGTCGCTAATCATCCCGAATCCTTGCCCTGAACGTGTCTAAACGTGTCTAACAGGTCAAGCAAATCTCCATCACCCAAAAGTTGAGACTGGCCAACCTCATCTGCAAGCTGGAGCAGTGGAACAAGCCCAACGGGCCTACTTGCGCCGAAATCGCCAAAGATGTGAGACTCGCGAAAAGCGGTCCGACCGCTAGGGTTGAGCTGACTAAGGCCCCACGTTACTCTCAGCCTTGCCGATGCTGCCATTTTTTTGCGAACACAGCATTGAAACAAACACTAGTCCTCCCTACCCCTGCCTTTTCCCGGAATAGTCCTGCCTTGAGAGCGCCCACCATTGCGTTGTTTTGCATGCGGAATTCGAGTCCTAGGGTCGTGCGATTTGTTTGCCTGTTTTTCAAGACTGTTAAGATCGTCAAGCTGAAGGCGGCGGCAGCGCGTTTGAACGTACGTGGGTTCGAAACGATTTGCATTGAATCATTGAATCGTGCTGTGTCTCTTCATGCCCCTAGTTGCGAACGTCTGTCCGACGTCATGCGCCCTTTTGTCACATCAATGCAGCATCCACCTCTTCGTATGCATACGACCGTCAATAAATACAACGGCATATCGCAACATACAGAGAATGGTCCGACCATTGGGAATGGCCAGAGAAAGACCCAGTCAATGGGATGGCTTTCTGCTGTCCCCGCCAAACATGACAAGAGAACGCCCCAGCCAATGGGATGGCTTTTCGCTGTCCCCGCTAAGCATGACAAGAGAAAGACCCAGCCAACGGGGTGGCTTTCCGCTGTTCCCGCTAAGAATGACCAGAGAAAGACTCAACCAATGGAATGACTTTCCGCTGTTCCAGGTAAAGGATTTCGGGGTGGAGGTTGCTGAGGGTGCGGGAGACGAGGCCCTAACCGCTACCGCGATCCTTCTCTTCGGACCGGGAGGAATGGAACTTCCTGGCGGCTATGACACCAACGAGATGAGCAGGTGGGGCAAGGGCACGGATAGGGGGGTGGCTCCTGTGATGCTTTACAGCGGAATGGAAGGATTGAGGTATACAGATGGTAGTAAAGACGGTGTTGAAAATCAAGTGGACATATCAGGTTACGACACCAACGAGATGAGCTTGCAAAAGAAGGGCACAAGTCGGGGGGCTGGCTGGGATGCCTTGTAACGGAAGGCAAGAGTTGGCGGTGGGGGGATGGGGTGCACAGAGTAATGACGACGTTGGGCATGAAGTGAAATGTCCAATCGGGGGGCACGCCGACGGTGGGCGTATGACATCAACCAGATGACGAGCAGGTTGGACAAGGGCGTAAATCGGGGGGGGGAGGTCACACAATGTTAGTGATGTATTCGTGATGCACGACATACGACATACACATTGATTGAGGCTATTTGTTTCCGCGGGTACTATTGTAGTATATACTGTCAGCTGCGGCCAGCCAGCAAGAGAGAGAGACCTTCTAAAACCCTATCGACACTGCCTGACGTCCCCTTCTCTATCGGGCATTGTACCTACCTGCCTGTGCGATTGTTTTTCGAAGCGACCCAAAGATAGCCGACTTAATTCCCTTCTCTAGTTGTTTCGCTGACCTGTGCTGTATGCCGTTGGGGTGTTGACAGTGTTTGTTTTTCTCTCCTTGTCCCAGGCAACTTTGTCTCTGGCCTGTTTCTGTGTGTGCTGACTCCTTGCCCGCGTGTGCCTGCTTCTGCCCTGCTGTTTGTAACGGGGACTCCTGATTGTTCCAAAACCCCCCGTCATACCGAACAGTTTCCTGGCATAACAGACGTGCTTGAGAGCAGTACTGTACATACCCTTTGTCTTCTCCTTCCTCTCTCAATACTTCTCTCCTCTACACGGCGCCATTTTTTCCCATTTTGTCGGCCTTGCGTATTGCGTTTCGGCAGCACCTCTCCTTTGAAACAGCTCAAGGCGTTCCCGCAAGAGCTAGTGCTCATGGGACGTGCCACGGTAATGATCAAGGGGATCGCCGCGGCGCTGGGGCTCAAATGGAATCTCGCGGCGAGGGTGAGAGGCATGACAGATGACGGATGACACATGACACATGGCACATGACACCACAACCGTTCCGAGGAACTGTGGCGATGAAGTGCATAGATGTAGCACAAAATATTGCAGCAAATCTTGGTGATGATGTACATGCAACGGTGTATCGTACCCCCGTTGGTCGAGAGGCATGAAGAGGAAATGTGTACCAGGTACCGTTTTGATGAACCGTACCATTTTAATGAACCGTATCTAACCCTAGCCCTGCCAGTAGTCAGGCATGCTAGGTGGAGTGTTGCGGCTTGCAGCCAACGGAGAACTAGGGGAGAAACAACAACGGCCAGAGACACTTGGGGTGCTTGGATGAACATACGTACCCCGCCCGCCCAAACAAGACAATACTGACTGGATTGATGGAGGATTTTTGCTAGATTGATCGAGTATCGTTGGTCTCGTGTACAGCCAAGCAGGTGTCTTCCGATCCTCTTCTGGTCGGCAAGAGTGAGGAAGACCTACAATAGTTTTAATGGTCCTTGTTTGACGCGAAATCGGGCCGGCGACTCTTACTATTTGACAAGGAGTTAAGAAAGTGAATAGGGACATCGGTGTTTTCGTTCCTGGCCCCTACAATACGTAGATACTGTGCTGTAACGGGGCGGTCAGGTCAGCTGCACAGGGCGGTCATGTGAATGCCCCCTTGCCCACTTAGCACACAAAATCGCCCCCAGTAAACGTCAATGGCATCCGACGTCCCTCGACGCTAATAAATAATGCGTTCTTGCCGCCTGATCCTCCAGACACTCGGAGGAAGTTATTTTCTTTCCATCCAAAGTCTAGCGAAGGAGGTTCTGCGACCGAAAAAATGAATCCGATAATCGTATACTCAATATATCACCCCCCCCCCACCCCCACCCCACTTCCGCTGCGGCCCTTGTGCGTTCTTTCGCGTGAAATCTCCGTTTGGTGCACAACACGCGACAATGCAAACGACACGTTGCCAACGACAGTGGGAACCGGCCGCTAGGCAGGCAATAGAGTGTGGGGACGAGGGGTGTGCCGTACCCGTGTACGCCATGACGCCCCCCCCGGTGGGGGGGTCGAAGGGGATAGTGAGACCCAGCTTCAAGGAGGTTCGGGGGTCTATTTGGAGAGCGCAGAACACGGCCAAGAGCTGGTTCATAGCGAAGTCGGGAGAGGCCGTGCCGCCAAAGGTGTGTGTGTGTGTGTGTGTTGGGTGCTTCTGGTTTTGTGGCACGGTCAATTCGGACGTTGTTGGTGTTGAACCGTTTTTTTCTCAAAAGGCTTCGTGTGGTTGGTCAACGAGTCTAGCCAAGAAGCTTTGGAAGATTCTTCCGAGCCCTCGGTGAGCACTTTCAGGTATGGCTATTGCAGGTCCTCCGGGTTTACATTTAGAAATTTCGGAACATTTTTTTTGCAGGAGATGGGGCTATGCTTGCATCACCCAGGTGGTCACGTTGGTTCCCGACTGCATGGCCCACTCGTGGCTGCATTGTGACAGATAGCCCTCCGAATGCGAAACGAAGGGTGATCTCGCGGACGGCCAGCATGGGAGGCCACATCAGTAACCTTCCTGTCCCGGAAGTAGCGTCTTGACGTTGACTTGAATACGGGACACCCCCCTTGGTGTGTTCTGGGACCAGTAGCCTTTTTCGAGAAATGATGTGTATGATGAGGAACTAGAACAGGGAGGGGGTACGCAGACCCGAGAACCTTAACTCAACTTCCCCCAACTGCGTACCATTTATTCAAGATGTGTACTTTATACGGAAAATCCCTCCGAAGGGTACCGTTATTCTGTGGCTAGGCATGTAGCTGACGAGGTCGTGGTTGCGTGCTTGCTCCACAGGTGAAACGAGGGGTGATATCGTGGGCGGCCAGCATGGCCATCAATCCGGAGGACCAAGTCGAGGAGGGGGAAGAGGACATCAACGACGGCGATGCCGACGAAGGGAGTGCGCATCACCACACCGATACACCGTAGCGATAGTTTTTTTGAAAGTAAGGAGCAATTTGGTTTTCTGCAAGGGTAGTTTTTGGGACTTCAAGAAAATATTGAACGCCCCCCCCCCCTCCGATTATCGGAGAGCGTCATACGGAGGCTTGTAATATGGAGGTCGTCGATGGTGCAGACGTAAAGGACGTTTGTGCTATTTGGTCAGAGAAGGCGTGCCCTCTGCTTTCCCCTTCCCCTCACGTCTCGTAGTGACGCTGGCCTGCTCCAGTTCTGGAGCCGGGAGCCGCGCGTTTTGTAGCAGGATGGACCCGCGTGGTGCCTGGAGCATGTTGTATATGGGCGGGTGTGTATTCTCCACGCCAAGTCACAGACGACACCACGCCACGAGCACCCCCCGCCTTTGTAAACCCTTGGAGGCGACTACTATTAACATTTCTAGCAGAAGGTCCAGGGTTGCGCTACCTCGTGGGAAAGATTTCCAATTTGGTTGCGTTTTCCGACAACCCAACGGGGTGTACAGTTTTTTCCCATCACAATCGCCAGTTTTCCGTGTGAATGATCATGATAAAAAAAATAGTAGACTTTTGCTACCGTAGATAGCTCGGATGGCGTTTTCCTGTGCGTTGCTGGCACCCGCCCAAGACTCGGGGGCCTCCCCCTTGCTTGCGAAGCACCCGTCGGCTTCAGTGCGAGCGGGGCGGATGGATTTGGGTACCTTGTCCGCTAAGCCTTACATGTAGTCGGCCGACGTACCCGTCTCTTCTGCGGACGGCGATATTTTTGCAGCGATGCGATGTGCTTGTCCCGGTTGGCCTTGTGAGGCAAGGCGTTGCGTGCCCCCCAACGCGGGCTTTCTCTCTGCCGCTGTCGACGTCTTTCAATCAGTGGTTTCTGGGTTTGATCATTGAACAATGCATCGGGAAGGACACTTGGCCCTGCCGCCCAGGGCAACAACTCACCACTGTCCCATCAGGGATTATGGCAAGTCCCGACTGCGTCGTTTATGTTGTAGGTGGGCTGATTTTTGTATAGAAGTGGGTATTGGCCAAATGGCGGAAGTTAGTTATTTGGCGGGAGATGAGAAGCCTTGTCTTGTGCCTGCCTTTGGAATTACCGCAGCCTTCCTTGCTCTTTGTTTCACGACAGACTTGCTTGCTGGAATTAGACTTAGCGTAGCGGTGGAATACTGTAGTCTCACAGCAGTGGGTAAGACAAGCTACCCGGTTGGGATGAGAGTCGGATCCGTCGATTTGAGTATGCAACGTCAGGTTAGTCGATCGGAAGACAGATATCTATGTGCTACAAGAATGATGGCCAACATGGCACGGACATTGAAGTTTACTCTTGCCACCGCTGCGTCGCTGCTGTCGCTTGGTAATGGCACACCAGAGGCGTTTTTATTCCTCCCAAGAACACGTCGGAAGAAGAAGCTAACAAGTTGCCGAACAACCGCCGATCCTTGGCCGATCAGATGTCAATGTAGTGTACTCCTGTCAGTTTCGAGCAAAAAATGAGAGATCAATCAACAGAGATGGGTGGGCGCCTGGTCGCAAGGCCTATGCACGGGTAGGTGCATTGTTGGAGAACAGCCCGAACGCGTTGGCTGTTGTCTGGCAAGAGGTTCCAATTTCGATGCTCATGAACAAACTCACGAAGTACGCAGAAGGGACCCTGACCTACCACAGTACAGTAGGTTGCATATGTAACACATACCACACCCCCTGGACATTCAAACCTCAATTTACTGTTCGACGACGAAAAGATGCGGAAATCAAACGATGCATTTTCGGGAAGCTCTCGAACGAGGCAGTTCCAACGCCGACATTTCCGGCGCCGCCACTCCCTCTGTTGTGGGGGAATCGAGCTACGAAAACCGGCCCAGGGGCTGTTATATCTTCTGCTAATACCTATGGTAAACAAAGGCGTCGCGGATAACACCCTAAGGGGTTTCCTTCTGAGTGGCCTTGAGACAGACCTGAGTCGGATCGGAATTGTCAAGGCGACCAGTCCTTTCTTTCGCGATGTGTTTGCATCCTCGTTGGAACGGGCCCTACCCCTTGAACCCAATTACCGCCGGTACAACGTGAGGCCAGTGCACCTTGGAAATGTGAACATCGAAAAATTGGGGTGGTTCACAGGGGCAGAGTGCAACAGTGGAATCACCGTGTTCCGACATGGAGGCCACAAAGTCACCCGCTCAGTTGCGAACCAAATGGTAACTGCTGGAGTCTATGTTGTTGTAGCCCACGCACTGAGCACTGATTCTCCAGTTGGCAGAGAGATACCACTCCGGCCGAAAATAGAAGGGGCATTTGGAGTTGCAGTTCTCTCGTACTTCGCGCCGCCCAACTTGCGCGGCCTATTGCTGACGGACGCTTGCCGTACTTGTTGAAAGTTTTGATGTCGCCATGCTCTTCTTGTGCGGATAAGCACACAGAATCAGCATTAGACACGACAAGCGATTGGGCAAGATGCTCCCTGAGAAGGCGTAGGGCATCACGCGGCCATCGAGCTAATTTGAATGCGGAAAATGTGCATACTTTGTATTGTACGTTGATGGAGTGTGCGTGGTCTGCGCGGATACAAAGGCGAAAAAAAGAACAATAAAACGAGCCAAGCTGGTTGGACGAAATACACGGTCCTGTCGACCAGTGCCACAAAATTGTTCCGCTTCTCACCCGCCGACGGATGCCGACCGAATCGAACCCACAAACAAGGGGTACAAGTACGGATCTTGACGGACCCAAAGCGTATCTAACCAGCTAGCCAGCCAGACGGAGAGCAAATTAGTGCAGCAGAACTGTGACCGTACATAAACAGCATCATCACGACACACCACAGCAGTAGGCTTTGCTAACTGCTCCTCCTGCTTCCGCACTCAAGAGGGTTGATCTGTTGGTTGTTGCACGATCACCGCCACCATGTTGTCTTCCACCAGGAGGATCGGCGTCGTTGCTGCTGCCATCTTCGCGGGCCTTGCAATGCATCAAGTGCAAGGTCATGTTTACCTGATGGTCCCCGTGAGTCGCAACTTTTGGGCAACGGACGCTTTCCAAGAAAGGTGAGCCGAAGATCTGTGATGATTGCGAAATGAACTTTTACAGTAGTTGGATCGGTACAGCAGCCGTGAGAGGAGGGTTCACCCGTCGCTCCGGGGCTGGAAAATCTCGTGCATCGGCACTGCTATGATCGCTGGAAACTAAGATACGGTCTGATCCGCTGGATGACCATGTGTACAACGCTTTCATGAAATACGCCTGCCTGCGATCTGCTATTGCTGCCGCCGTATAGTTCTGTAAGCCTAACCCAATTTACTTGAAGAATAAGTCAACGACCTACGGTATTGCATCGCACCGGCCTACTGGATCCAAAAAAGGACAACGCCACCATCTCCTGGTACTTGCTGATGCATGCTGTAGCTATGCACACGACACGCGATGCTGTGTGATGAGCACTCCATGGGGTAGAGCATGAGATCTTGGCGAGTGCGTGGGGATTTCAATTTGGATAAGGTCCATCCAACTGCTGCTGTACATCTACAGAAGATACTCTCCGGCGGTGGGCGGAAGCAGCACATGTAGTCTAAGCAGTCCACCCGCCTTAGACTTACCGCTTCAAGCACTAGGCCACTATCTGGTACTAACAGCTCGCAGCGGGCTCTTTGAAAGTAATGAATAGGTATATACTTCTCTTGAGAAGGCCGAGTCTACAGTAATTCATCTTCGAAGTTCGATCATCTTCAAATTGGTGTTGCATCGGCGGCTGGCTATATGCAAACGGTTGAACCAGCATAGTCTGTACTTACGGCGAGAAATAATTATTTCAGCAGTAGCTGGTCGACCCCCGGTTTTCCCACACAGAACCCCGCACGACCGGTATATCAATGACCAGTTCGCTCTGCCACGACAGCTTGCTCTCTTGAGTCCGTCACCCTCTTCCGTTGGGATACACTTGTTCACCAACCAACGTCTGCCCCGCCATAAAATGGAACAGAAAATCACTCTATGTACCGGGGACGATGGACAGACGAACAAACAAACGGCCGTATATGGCTAGCCGGCTGTATGCGGACGAACTGGAGCAAGAAAAACCCATGCACACTTATGTTCTTTATCAACGCTGCGAAAAACACCTTTTCCACAGACAAGTAGTCCCGTGGTACAGTAGTGTAGCATAGAATGTAGAGTTCGACGGTGACCACCATATATTTGTACGGTTCCCCGAGCAGCAGATAGAGAATGTGCTCTTCTCTCCGGAGATGAAAAGACGAACGAACGCGTACCCGTTCAGTGCCCCATCACGTGTTGGCGACATCAGCACGTCAACGCATGTGTGAGTCTACCATTGAACGAAACTATCGTCTCAAGGGAAAAAAAAACAACCCGAAGGTCGGGACGGGCGCAAGCGAACTGTCATTTGGGTGATACCTGAACCTGCATTTAGGCAAGGGCCGAGGAGTAGGTGTGGGCTGCTCTCTGCCTAGTATACAGCATCGGCCATGAAAATTGCGAATGTATGTGCTCCTACAACTAAACGAGTAGGATCACCAGCGAAGGCAGGCGACTGTGCAACAACCGTACATCTGTCCACATCACCATCGGCACTCACCCTTCTCAGAATGAGGACCAACTGGCGCAATCTCCCTCGCTACTGGTAGTTTTGCTAAACCGTCCATGGCGCACCCATGGGCAGCTCATCGGTGGGCCCATGGGCAAATTTCCTGTGAACATGGGAATCGTGGTAGGTCAGTATGAACAGAAGCTGGGCAGATAGATCGACAGGGTAAAAAATGTGAAGAAAACAACAACCACTACAACAACACCTGTAAGAACATTGGCGCCTTCCACACCGGCCGGTCGATAGACCCCTGACTGTGACCCTGATGCCTAAAGCAGTGTTGGCGACACTTTGACGCGAAACCCCTACAACTAGCTGCTCCCTGCTCATGACTTCCTCTCCTTCGCTCAACGTGCATGCCATGAACATGCACGTGAACCATCAGCTCCTACTCGGACATCAATTGGTGCCCTCACTGTTTCCAGAGCCGGGGACCGAGTGCGGTTCGCGAACGAGGGGAAGAGAACACGGAAAAAGACGTGCTCGAGAGTAAGCTCAGCACTCCCGCAACTCCGAAAGAGTCGATATAACTGTAGATCGATCGGGTTGAACTGGTCGTCCAGTTCCTTTTGCTTGAAACTGGTTGCGTATTTTTAAAGGTGCACGAGTCCAAACCGCTGCGAAATAGACTACTCTCGAAGCAGAAGCAGAAATGTATACTAAAGGCCGAGCAAGACCCAACACCACGCCCCCCCTATGGGACCTCGCCGCTCCTCCGCTCCTCGACGGTCTGTCCAATTTGTGTGTACCACACTGTGAGATGCGCGTACTTTCATCTCGTCTACGGCCCCAATAGTTATCGTCGATATTTCCAGTTCTACCCGTTTGGATAAGTTAGCCTGTGCCCAGGACCGGCGTCCGGATCAGTTGGGCCAGTACGGATGCGAGAGCGTTTTGGACGGTTTTCGATGTGAAGAGGACGACACAAAACACACACACACACACACACACACACACAAACACCTGCTGCTGGTGCTAGTGGCCGTACCACCACTGACTTCATGACTTCCTGTTGTCTCTCGACATCATTTGGCTAAACAGGGTACGGCGGTGGGGAATGGCCCCACCTGTTCTCGTACGAACGAAACGAGGTTCACGGCAACGGAAACTACTACGAGCCGGAGAAAATCTCCGTCAGGCATGGCATTTGTGGCGACCCCGAACAAGTGAGTCGGTAACACTGCTTGTTGTTGTTGTTGTTGTTGTTGTTGTTGTTGTTATTATTCTAGATGATGCCCTCTGCGCTGGTCATCAAACGGCTGCCTCTGTTGCTGAAAGTGACATTACGTCATACGCATCTCTCCGCCGACTCCACTGTTGTTTTCGTGAAACTGCTACCGCAGACCAAGGCTGAGGGCACCAACCTCTACGGACAAGAAAACCACAAGTACCCGGTCCACGACAAGTACTCTGAAGGCGGAATTATTGAGATCAAGGTTGTGGTCTCTACCTACCATTGGGTGAGAGAGCTCCCCGAGCCAAGTGCCCAAGGTTTCATCTGCGGTAAAGTTTGCAGCAGATTGGCACGAAAGCGCACTCATTATTATCGCTAGCCTGCTGATAATGTTGTAGAAGTACGACGTTTCTCAGGGATTGAAGGCATAGCTGGCGGTTTTGGTGCTAGTCTCGGCGTTTGTCGTTGTCGTCTTCGTCATAGTCGTCGACGAGGGGGAGTGGAGGAGCGTTCCGACCAGTTCGCTCGTACGTGCACCGCGCCTATTAAGCGATGCCCGGCAAATTTCGAGCACAAGACTACGTCTCCACGGAGGGAGCGTGACGAGCAACATGGCTCACTAGACAAACTCTTTTGTACATACTCGCTGCCATCAAGAGCACTGTTTCAAGAACAATCTCATGCCGTTGGTTCTCCTCACGCGGACTGGGTGTAACGGCCTTGCCTCCCGACACTCGCGATGAAGCTGCGGCATCGGTTAGCATGGAAACGATCCTTCTCGCTTGTGTCTCTGATGTGGTGAATCAATAGCGAAGTTGCGTGCCTTTGTATTGAATCTGTCAGAAAACGAGGACCCCAAACGCGGAGGACAAGCACAATCAGCAGGAACGGCCTTTTTTTCTGTCAGAGCCAAACACTGGGCAAGTTTCTAGCTCCGAATTGCCCCGAGGCAAGTTTCTAGCTCCCGAATTTCCCCGTGCGTGTTCCCATCAAGGATTTATCAAGAACCCAGTGTTTGGAGCATTTCGTGTGTACAATGGTTCGTCTCCAGAAGAACCGCCTGTCGGCGCCTTCGCCCTGTAGGCAAGCTGCTAACCCTAACCCTAACCCTAAACCTAAGAGGACGATGGCAGAACGACCACAACACATATAAGGAATAGCCTTTCGCTTGGGGTTTTTCCTCGTTTCCCGTGCCCCCTCTTCTTCAAACTAGGGCCACCTCGAGTTCTTCATCTGCAATGCCGAGGACATGTCTGATCCAGACGGGGTCGTGACTCAGGTAAATGTGTCGGTTTGCTGGGCTTTTCGAGACTCATCCAGCCCTTTGGAGCTGCTGCTTGTTGTACATACGTGGCTTTTACTCTACGTGGAAACATTGTAACCCTGGAATATATGTTCAATTCTTTTCTAGATAGTTTCCCGCCGATGCGTCTCGCAAGTAGTTTGTTGAAAGGGCGTGTCTAGTTGTCGCACCTAGCACCCCGATATACTCTGATACCGTGTGCTTGGGTACTCACGACAGCAAACGTTGCTCGATCAGAGATGTTGCCCTGACGAGCTACCTCTAAACCCAGGACTGTTGGGGCCCCACCCACACAAACATAGTCGGTGGCATGTCTGCGTGCCTCAGCCAAAGCACATACTTCGTGTGCTTTTCCATAGTGCTGTGACGCTGCTATTCTTCGTTGTTATTGTTGTTCTTGCGTTCGAGTTGTCGTCATCGTCGTCGTCGGTATTGCTCACAACCATTCATCGCCAGACTCTAGCCTGCGACCCCGCAGTCGGTGTGAGAAAACCCATGTATTTAGGGGGGAAAGCTGCAACCCATCCATCATACGCACGCACCAATATGGACAGTAGGGGTAGCCGTGACCAGAAATTCGAGCTTTCGAAGAAAAACACTGGGCTCTTTAAACGTGGTGACGGCTACCAGACGCTGCAGATCCCGTTTTTTCTTTCAAGTATGTTTCGCTCCGTCATACTCCTCTGCACCGTAGTTTCATGTGCCCGAACAGCAATAGAGCGGACACCCCATTCATTCCAAGACCCTTCCGTGGGAGAGGTAGCACCCAAACCCCGTTGGGATCCCGGCCAGCGCTCGCGCCCTGTGCCCCTTGCCATCGGTTTGCTCACGAATCTGTTGGCCTGGAGTTTATCAAATATGAAGACCAAAGTGTAGATACACTTCTCATACGCTTTCCCAGAACATGATAGCTTTGAGAACATGTACGTGATACATCGTGCGCCAACGTGCCAACCAGTCGCTTCCGTCACTAGAGCACGCCACGCCACTCCCATAGAGGGATGCTTGTTTAGGGGTTGCTTCCTCACCATGTCCTTGCCCATCACGCTGTGAGTTTTCCTACCAGAACCCTGAACAGGAAATCCAACTTCTCAGGAGCAACATCATAACGCCTTTCATTTGTAGATTTCTGCCTAGCTTCTTGCTTCAAACGGCGCTCACTCAGGTTTGACCGCTTGACCCGCCACCCTTGCTACGGTGGCGGTCGGACAATCCCCCGCCCCCCCCCCCCGACGAATCGGACGTTTTTGTTGTAGGGCTGCTTCAACATGCACCCGCTCGATCGTGCGGACGATGACGGGGATGCTAGCCCCATCGACCCTGACCACATTGGCAGGTATGGACAAGGCTCCATCGCTTTCCGACGAAATAGCTTTCAATTTTTTCCGAGCTTTCGCGTTATCTGCCTGTGCTACAAATTCCATTCCGCAGGTCCGTGTCAGGAACTACTGTAGGTAAGAAGTATTGGACACCTTGACAACATCCTCGTCTCCGTGACCCTGCAACGGACACCTTCCGTTGAGAACGAAGCGGAGAGAGTGTGGTTACAAGAAAACACCATTTATTTCGAGCGGAGGCAACGAACGATATGATGAGTGACAACCGAACGAAACATTGACAGGTACTACCTGGACCCGCCCTGCCGTGCCGATGAGACGGATCAGGATACTCTACCCGGAGCTTATCCCGGCGATGTCGCCACCGCGCGGTACAAGCTGCCGAGCGGGCTCACGTGCAGCCGCTGTATCTTACAGATGGTCTACTGTGAGTTCGGCTGCTTCTTTCCGCGTTTGTTTGCGTGTGCGACGCGTCACCTCCATTGTACATGCCTGCGCACATAGCCTGCGCACATAGTCTGTTGCTTGCCCCTTGGCCGCAGTGTCTCTGCACACAGGGCCGTCAAGCAGTTCTCAGGTCGTAACATGTCTCCCAAGAATAGAATCCTCATTGAACTATACTCTCGGTTTCTGAGTGCCACGAATGAAGCTCGGGTTTTCCCCTATCACATGACGGAATATAGTGCCCGGAAGAATATAGATGGGGGTGATTTAAGCGATTGTTTGAATGGGATGTCAGGGTCTGTGGCGGAAGTGCAGATGAAAGATACTCTTTTTCGACAAAGTTTCTGGGACACCGAACGTAGCACCTACCGTAGGCCGTCCTGGCTCGAGATGTATCACTCCCTTGGTCGAGGGTTCCGCCTCCATTTGTCTGCAGGAAGAACCTAATTTAGAGGTTAATGTCTCTTCGCAGCAGCACCAAAACGAAAGTTGTATGAAAGACCTTCACTCAGGCGTTGGAAACATATTGGTGCTAGAGATATTTGATAGATGCCGCGCTTTGTCGTGATGTGTACCACCCCATTGCTGTCGAGATGCCACGGGGCGCACGCAAACTTACAAATATTGAAAAAGTCGCGGAGACATCGGCAATGATGCCGACTCGTGCGTCCGGCGTTAAATGCAGATACCGGCAACGCTTGCAAGCATCCGGGGTATGACGAGTTCGACCCCGTCTCAGTGCCTGACGGGTGCGCCCCGGCCAAGGAAGACTGGGTGCAGACGCAGCTGGGCATGTGCGGCGAGGACGGCAGATACCCAGAAGAGTTCTGGAATTGCGCCGATATCGAGTGAGTTGCATGGTGACCATGTATGTGAAGACATTTTCATCACAGATCTACGTTTTCCCAATCTCCCACACGACTGGCAGTTTGCTAAACCGCCCATGGGACACCCATGGGTCACCCAGGGCCGCCGATGGGCACTTCATGGGTCACCCATGGGCGGCCCGTGGGTGGCCCATGAAGTGCCAACCGTGGGTGCTTCAACTGAGAACTTCGCCACCGGTATATCAACCTAGAACTTAGCCATGTTCACATCAATCTAGAACTTAGCCACCAGCGCCACCTCGCACGTATCGTGTGGGCTTGGGGTCGGTTAGCGTTAGTTCATTTGTAGACGCTATACTGTAGTGCCCGTTCCAAATCAGATAATCAACTGTTTAGGAGTACACTGGTTCGGTCGAAGGCTTATCATTGGCCGCCGAAGGGCTTCCCATGAGCTTCCCATGGGCCGCCCATGGGCTGCCCACGGGCTACCCATGGGTCATTTTCGAAAACGGTAGAAAGTGAGGGAGACCCCGTTTTCCTGAGCGGTGTTTCTGCAATTCCCTATTTCTGTTGCTTCCAGTTTGCACCACTGCGAGTTGATGATGTTGCTCGCCCAATATTGGTTCAATGCACTGCTGGGCCTGGGATGTTTCCAAGTGAGATTGTGGGGGGATTCCTGGTGCCCCACCGACGTCGATTTGTTCATGTTGAAGTTGTTGCTTCATGCTATTTCCGGGAGAATGTGGAGAACAACATGGTCCTGGCAATGTTGTTCCTGTCGTGGTAGTTTTCCTTGTCATCCCAGGAATTGTTTCGACAAACCAGAGAGAGACAGAAAACATCCTTGTTCGGATACTGCTATCGTTCTTCACAAGAAGTTGTCTTACGCTTTCCTCAGCACCCGTGTCAAACGCACTATGCGAGCACACGCCCCCTTCCTCACCTTCGCTTCGCCCCGCTCTCTGCCGTTTTCGCTTGCTCTCCGGCAATCGGTATTCACGCGTCCATGTAACGAAAACGATACTGCATGATTCGCGGGCGCGGTATGTTCTCTCTTCCACAGGATCACCAGCGACGAAGGTTTGTTGAGTCGTACTGTAAGATTATCATATAAGAATAGGAACACGTCGAACAGCCGAGTGAGAGGCAGGGGAGCGCGTTCGCCGTGCCATGTAGTTTGCTCGTTCGAGTGTATTGCAACTTTTCGAAAGATTGGGCGTCACATACTGGAAACGGTACATGTAAACATGTTGAGGGAGACGGACAGTCTATTGCACCCAAAAAACATGCTCCACCCAATGCACGTGCATGTGTGTGTTGCACAGCCCATGGTTGCTGCCGTCGCAAATACTTGGCTCATGGACCATGCGTTATGTCCGCCCGTTTTTCGCACGGGAAGGCGTTTCGAATTCGGCGTGATTTTGCAACACAAAGACGGCTTCTCGCCCTCACTGTTGACCTTCCCAAGGGCTAAGACCAATAAGGTAGTAGGCAAGCACCGCTAGACTTGTCGCTTAGCTTCTGTAGTTCTTTCCACGTGAAATTGGAATCGCAAGTTCCACCCTAATCTGGAATTCCTTCGCTCGAATCATTGAGAATGAACGCTTTTGCTCCAACGACAGTAATGAATCATCGATCATTACGTCAGAGCCTCCATGTGAGGAATACAAGATATCCACCGATCCCCGTCCCTTGGAAGGGAGGCCTGGCAAAGCCCAACCAACCGATCGTGCCTTCCCAACCACATTCGCGCGCAACAGGTGGAAGTGGGCCCGCCACTACAACCCCTTCGCCCACCGACGAGGAGGAGCTTTCGCCTACCCCTGAGCCGTCCGATCCCACTGTGGAAGTTCCTCGAACGCCGGAGTACGGAGAGCCCACGCCGGAACCATCGCCCGCCCCTTCCGTGGCTCCGGTATCTCCGACGGCGACATCGTGTGACGACCCCGCGGTGGTGTACGAGCAGGTGGGCTCGGCATACGATTCGTTTGTGGATGTGAAATTTTCTCGTGATTGGTCAGAAGACTTCGCTAGTAGGAGCAGTGGGAGGGAGTCTTAGGCCTACTGACTGCCGGTTGCTCCAATTGTTTTCTTCATTTGAAAGCGTTCCGGTCTACGCTAAGCACCTTCAAACATCCGCGTGCTGGCTGTGGGTCCAACTGACGCAGACGTCCACCCGTCACGGGCAAATCGATATTTCTCGTACCCTTACATTTTTTGACTCTCTGATAACTTCAAATACCGAAGTTACCACTGCACCGCAGATGATGCTGCTCGCCATTTGGCACCCATAGGCTGTTTCTGGTCAGACGGTGCTCAGTCTCAGTTTCCGTTTTTCTCTGAACGCTGAAAATATTGGTTATCGAACGACGCCAGCTGTCAAAATCATGTCTGATCTGATGATTGGTTGTTTCCACTTGTATTTTTTCCTGTCCTCCCATACACAGTCATACCCTACGCTGCAGCCCTCTCCCGTCAGGACCCCAGCTTTCTTTTTTTCAAGGGGTTGTTCGGTTGTTTGTTTTTCTGTTCTTTGCCACGTGCACTGCCAGGATGGCGGCCTAAAATGAAGTATAAGCCCCTATAATGCAACAGTCAAAAGTGGGAAATGAAGTTTTGTGAAGAACTGCCCTCCGTATTACTGTAATACGCACTAATCGCTCATCTGAGCGACGGCAGACTCGGTTCCCGAACGCGTTCTTCTGTTGCTCGAATATGTAACCGCTTTCTTGGCCGGAATTTCCATGCACTGCGGGATGTTGACATTCTCTTTCGTGTACTTGCGCTTGTCTGGGCGCCGCCGACGTGCAACTCTCCCCGTCCTTGTTCATTCGTTGTTTCGAATGCCTGCCAGTGCGGTGGCGATGACAGCTACGATGGACGTACATGCTGCGTCGAAAACACCGAGTGTGTGGAGCTCGCCGATTGCTACTCTGAGGTGCTCAAATTCTGTTGTTGTTGTTGTTGTTGGTATGGTGATGGTGATGGTGCTATGTACATGCCATCTTGGTGTATTCTGGCCTGTTATATGCAAACTCGCAACCTAGTAGTCGTTCTTCTTCAATAGGGCGGGTATTGTTCAAGACGGGGTAGGGTGTATTTCCTTGTGCTTCGGCATGTGCTTTACAAGGGCGCCGCTCCAAGGACTAGCACTGCCATCGATTTTTTATTATTTCCATCTGCATTAGTATGACAATATCCAATGCGTCTTTCTACTCGACAACGTCCCCTGTTGAACTCATTGCTTCTGCATATGGGCAGCCAAAAGAATCGTAGTACCCCATCGAACCGACCCGGAGCTTCATCGTATCGCCAGAGAGAGTGGAGCTCACCCTCGCGCAAGGTAAATAATCTGCTGACCCTCCGCCATCGCCCAATTTCTTTCAAAACAGTGCCGCCCGGCTGAGACTACCCCTGGGGAAACCTGCTCTGGAGAGTGGGGCCAATGCGGCGGAAATCAGTGGCAAGGACCGACCTGCTGTGAGGAAGGCAACGACTGCGTCGTTAGCAACGAGTGGTACCACCAGTGCATTCCGGAGACGACTTGATGTGATCGTTCTGTAGAAATACTGTAGATCGATCTGACCTGGTCTTTGTACTTCCTCTTGAGCATTCCTGCAAGATCCTCTGGGGTTTCGATCCACAAACAATCTGATCTGAGTTCTCGACGCGCATAGCGTTCCTTTTGGTATGACGTGGTGCCGCTGTCGATCTGATTGAAAACGTCTGGGTCGTCTGATTTTCTTCTCTTCTTTCAATCTGGCGGAGAGGTAAAAATGGGGAGGGCAGATATGGGGGAGAGGGAAAGCAACCTCTGCAACATCGATGAGGCGGCGAGCGAAAGGAAAAAAGGGTATAATCGAGAGTGCGTGACGAATACCCGCACATGTGCAAATGCTTTGCTACGTGCGAGCGCCAATATACGGAAGCTCCGCCGTCGTTGTGTACTATCTCAAGCAAGGGGAGTGGGGTGGTGTCATCGTGTTGGAGAAAGTTAAGGCAGACGCGCAACGAACGACTGCACGAGGGGGATCGACAAACAAAAATGGTCTCGTAGGGAAATGAGGTCTCTACGTAGTATGTACGTACGAAACACAGGAGGAGTCATTCATAGGAATGCTGTAACGTCGGGTAAGGTTCTTCTGTAAAATCAAATGTAAATGTGGTCATGCGGGTATCACCACGCTACAGTGAATGCCGCACCATTTTTCTTGTCTACGGGAAGAGGTGTGTGCATGTCCGGATGGTCGCAGCACACCATCTGTCGCTTCCGAGTGACCTACCGTGAATGTCGTTGTTTCTTGATTTTCAACGGCGTGAGGCACAGCTACTCAATCGTTCGGATGGGCGCGGGGTTGGTGACGTATGGTTTAGGAAAATACTTTCTTGGCTAGTAGTCATCACCCTCATCAGGTGTAGGTTTTGACGGTCATGATCACCACCACATAGTTGTAGGATCGTTTCGCCTGTTGCGCGCAGAAAGAATGGGCGAGTTCACTTTTGTTGTTGCCCGGGCGGTCACAAAACGCGATACGGTCGGGGGGGGGTATCTAGGCTCTGGTAGTAGACTATTGGGCCACCATCGTTGTTAGCAGTAGATTGACCATGACGCATGAAGGATGCAGGGCAGGACATATGTACTCATCCGTGCTAGGTATCAAGGGTTCAGCCATAAAATACTCCTCCTCCTTTCGAGGGGGAGTGAGAGGTTTTCGAGGGGAAGTAAGAGGAAGGTAGCGTGTAAGCATCACGGGAAGTGCAGCCATGAGGGGCGTGCGCACTTCTCGCGAGAAGAGGGAAAGGACAAAGGCGTACATAGTTTTGGCTTTGCCGTGATTCTTGAGCCTCTCGGGCAAGGATTTCACGTGTTTAACGACAGGCCTCCAGGCCTTTCTGGAGGAAGTGGTGGGGGGTCATACGAGTAGTAGTGAGGAATCAGGAGCATGCCGTCACTAATTCTCGGGATAAGAGGCTAAGAATGGGGCGCATATTACTCACGGCAGGGGATTCAGTCAGTTCAGACACAAACATCTTTACGGAGAAGGAGTGGGGGGTCACGTAGTTTAACAGGAGAAGGTTGGCGTTTCGTCATGAATGAGATATCTTTCAACCGTGAGGGGCGAGTGCCCCTTTCGAACGAGGTGTGGGGGACACGGCGTCGATGCGGCCGATCGGATGAACCTCTGGCGGAGGAGAAAAAGTGCATAAGATTCCCGTTTCTTTTCTAGAAGGAAGGGGACTGGAGAACGAAAGAGTGGGAAACACGCGGTTCTAACCTCTCTTTCCCACTTTGGGTCAGTGGAACAGAGAAAGTTAATCGCGTTTCGCGCACACGTGCAAGTTCACACATATGTAGTTCTCCCTGTGCTTGACAATAAGAGGTGATATAATGCAACATTGAACGGAATCAATATCATTCATGACGGACTGTAGTGGGACGGCAGCATGCCTTCCATTCCCTGTATCACGATGACATGCTTGCTGTTACCACACACCACACACCGAAGAGCCTGAAAGGGCCGCGTCTTGTTGTAGTCAGAACGGTGCCATGACTCAACTACAGTAACGACCAAGTCATGACATTGATCAGTAATGACAAAAAACACGACTTGATAATTGTCACGACATATGGCAACACAACATCCAGTAGCGTCACTCTTTGGCACGGCAGCCGGTCAAACTCTCAATAGCAGCACCAAAGAGGCCGGGGTACATGTTGTTCAGAGGAGGAGACATCGTGACATTGTCATCGACAACATCAGGCCGGCGGGGCCTTAAGACAATCCGTTCTTGAATACAGCACGTGCTGTAGTCTACATACATCTTGGTTCCAAGACGCTCGCCACTTTATCGGCAACGATCGCCGAATGCCGTTTGATTAGTTGGTTATCGCGTCTCAGCGGCAGAATTGCGGGAGGGACTGGTGGAGCATCTGCAATCTACGCTTTGAACTCGACGCTGCATTTGACCAACATGGCTCTATCGCCGTCGCTCGGTCGGGACCACCTACTGGTTTGTATCATCACCGCCGCAATACGGCATCGGTGCAAATCGTTCTGCACGAGGTAGCCTCCTCCCGCTATGAACCAGGAACCACTTAGCTCGGCACCGCGGGGTTGAGCAAACAGGCTACCGTGCACCTACCGTGGTCGACGTGTCCTCAACCCACGCCCGCAGCTGTATCACCAACTACATGATGGGTTAGGGCCTTCGAGGGCGGCGGATGTCGGGGGCTCGTCCGTGGCGGGGGGAGCGACTTTGGTTGAGGGGGCGGGAGATGTGGCGGCGGCGGAGGTGTGGAGAGGCGAGGCGGTGGGGCGCAGCGAGGTTATGATGATGTAGCTGACGTATCGGGGTAGGAAGACTGTTTCCCTGAATCACCAGACATCCACATCGACGACAGCATCGTCTTCTGTTACAAGACCAAAGCAACAGCTACAACCACATCGTCATCGATCGCGACAAACGTCACCTGCATTGCACACTGCAGAATACACGAAACACCCGGAAGCGCGTGCCACTCTGTACGGAGATTATGAGAGGGGAAAATTCGGGATAACCAAGAAACAAGCAATGGATCGGCAATGGATCGAC